AAACTGAAAAGAATAATGCTGGAAAGAAATAACTGGGAAAAGAAATAATGCTGCTGAAAATAATATTCTGCTGAAAATAATATTCGCTCAATAAAATCTCTAAACTTTCTTGCCAAAAAAAAGAAGAACCCTTTCTACTGTGGTCTCAGGCTCTATTTATAGTGCTTAGGGATGTCAGTTTGGACCTGTTAATGGGGATCCCCGCGGGGAACGCCCCGTTCGGGGCCCCAAAGATGGGGAATTTTCCCCCGTGGGGGCGGGGATGGGGAGAAAAATTCCCCCGAGAGCATTTCGGGGACGGGGACGGGGAATACACCCCCCGCCCCGCCTATTATTTTAATATAGTTAATTTAATATATATATTTTAGATTAGGTTTTTTAGTCATTTCCTTTATGTTTATTTATAAAAATAAATAAATAAATATTCATGTATTTATTAAGAGAGAGAAATGTAAATATTAGACCCTAAAAAAGTTGAAGCGTTTCATTTTCTTCTGCCATACATTTAGAGTCTCACACGTTAGACTCCTTTTTTTCTTCTCCAGTCAAATCTCCATTCATCTTCCTCTTCCAATTCCATCTTCTCTATTTGGTGTGCTTCCATTATTCACAGCTCTTACAATTTCATCAATAAGGTTTGATTTTCATAAATTTGTTCATGTAATTATTTATAGGAAAAAATAGATTATTTCTCTTTGATTCTCATAAATCTGTTTATATTATTGTTTATAGAAAAAAGTAGATTGTTTCTCCTTGATTCTCATAAACCTGTTCATGTAATTGCTTATAGGAAAAGTTGATTATTTTGATTAAATTTAAATTAAATTGTTTAGAAATTTTAGAGTTATCAAATCATTTGCATATAAAAAAATATAAAATAATCAAAAAATTACTCATTTTTATCTCCTTTTAAATATTTTTGTGTTCATTTTTTATCTATACTATGCATTTGTAATTAAAATAATGTCGTCAGTTTTTCCTTAAAAAATATTAAAATATACTTTTCCTATTTTTTATTAATATATCACACTATAATTTAATTTTCTATATTAAACAAAAAAATATTACTTTTTAAATGAATCAATATATCATGCTATCACGGTATCACCCATAAAAAAAATCAAATATCTTATATTTCTAATTATTAATGAAATAATAACATATAAACAATAATATATCATGCTATCACCCATAAAAAAAAATATATCTTATATTTCTAATTATAAAACCAAAGCCATTAAGTGAAATAATAACATATAACTTTTTACACGAGTAAATATATCATGTATATAGGTAAATAAATGTATTCTCAATGTATATAATTAATTAATATATGTTATTATTTCTAATTGAAAAGTTACAGTAAATAAGGCATATTTAGAAATATGTGTAATGCATCATATATTTAGAAATATAAGATTTTTCTTATTAATTATTATTTCTACTTTACGTGTGTTATCAATTGAGCAAATAGAGATATGTTGACTTTTGCTTTTAGTTGACTTATTATGAAGTATTTTTTAGCTTTTCAAGCATACTCATGATGCTAAATTTTATAATTATCCCTTATTAGTTTTGATGAAGTATAGTTTTTTAAGCATAATTATGTTGTTGGATTTTTTTAGTTGTTTAGGCATATTGTTACTTTAAAAAGTATTATAGTTCATTTTGTTGAATTTTATAGCATTTTATAGAAATTTATAAAAAAAATATTATTATTTTGTGTTCCATTAGTATTTTTAATAAAAAATAATAAATGTCAAATACTAGTATTTTTTAATAACATAATAAATATGTGAATTCTTTGTGCTTTTTATTTTTATAGAAAATATAAACATTTTAAAAAAATAAAATATTAATGAATAAATGTAGGATCTATGGGGATCCCCGCGGGGAACGGGGATCCGCGGGGAACGGGGATGGGGATAGAAATTCCCCCGTGACGGAGATCGGGGACGGGGACGGGGAATGAATTTGATGGCGGGGAAAAAGATGGGGAAGTTCCCCCCGGCCCCGCCCCGCCCCATTGACATCCCTAATAGTGCTTGCTTGATCCGTTGCTCTCGAAAATATAGGAACAATTTACTTCCTTCTTTGAGAAATAATAGGCCATTCAATTGTCACGTTCGTTGCTCCTTTGACTGAGTGGGTGAGAAAATGTAGGACATCATTGGATTAACCCTTGAACGTGCTTCTGTCCGTTGGATAAGGAGAAAGTGGAGTAATGGGCTGTGACGTTCGTCACACTCAAGTGACTATCGTCACTTGGTCTTCATGGCGCGTGACGTTCGTCACGTCCCCTTGACATTCGTCAGGGCTTTCTTACTTGTGGGCCACGTGCTCACATGTGTGATGGGCTTTTGGGCTGGTTTCTTCTCCTTAGGCCTTTTTACTACTTTTTGCATCCTTTTTTCTTCATTTCTTCAAAAGTGTTCGGCTCGGTGCATATCTGCAAAAATAGAAAAATACCTGCATAATACTTATAAAATAATTTAATTTAAACTAAAGTATGAGAAATATTTGGTGTATATCAAGTCAGAAATATCACATATTTGTGTGTCATCATGCTTCCCTTTCTTCATCCAACTCAGCGTACAACTTATGCAGAAGTTGCCCTTGAAAACCAAGTGTCTCTGTCCCGTCCAACACTGTCACTTCACTTCTAGTTCGACCAATCAAAGTTGTTTGTGCCATGCTACTTTGCCTTGTTGTTGAACTAAAATAATCACCAAGAATCAATCTCAATATATGAAGTTAATATAGCAAATGAAACCAACAAGTTAACAACTAATGAAAGTGTCCTGGATCGAGTCGAGGCCCAATCCAGGCGCTAATATATGATGATTGAGAAACAAGCTACGGGACTGCCTTAATGGCACACTATAGCAAGGCAGTTGAATGCATCATCACCACATGAGATCAAGATCAAACGATCTGCACTTTATCAACTCCGCCCATCGATCTAGATCCACCGCGAATCCGGATACAATCATATCAAAATGAATAGAACTAAAATAAATGTTTAGAGGGAAAAAAACTCTAAATCTCACGTTGAAATTATAATTTATCATAAAAATTACATATGATTCTACTCAAAAGACTTAGATATCCAAATCAGTTTAGTGAAATCAAAACATGCATTAAATATGAAAATAATATATGAAAATAAAGTGAAATCCATTATCTTACGTACCTTGCGAAACGAGTGTGAAATTGTGAATAAGAAGAATAAGACGAGCATGAAAATATAGTTGTTTCTCTGTCAACGAGTGAGCGAACCCTTCTGCGTCAAAATGAAACGGGGAATCCGCACACGGTTTGCGCTCCAAAACATTTAATTACGACTAAGATATTACTAAGAATCTTCTTTTCTTTTTCTTTCTTCCTATGTACACCTTTCGACCAGACTAGAACAACACAGCATTCGTTTTCACCAGTTGTGTGTCCTTCGAATGAACCAACTGTGTGTTCTTCGAATGGCCCTTTTTAGCTGAATATGTCATTTTGAGTCTTCTTGCTTTTAATAACTTAGGCCCAAACCTTCGACCAGATTCTAAAGTAAGAGAACAATTATTCCCCAACTATGGCAAGTCCTTCGAATGGACCACCAAGTTGTGTGTCATAATGCAGGACTATGGCGTATTGAAGGGTTTACAAATGGATTCGAAGGTGATATGAAGGCGCATTTGAATCATACATGAAGATGAATTTGAAAGTCACAAGAAGGTAGTCATTCACCCAATCGAAAAGAGCATCCAAGGCAAACAGGTGAGGGGCGAATGGTGCAATCGAATGACACTTTTCAGAAGGTTATTAACTTCTGAATCGAAGGAAGCTTTTAGAAGATTATTGACTTTTTGAATTGAAGGAAACCAAAAGGAGGCCTTTACTTCCTGAGTCGAAGGACATTCCTGAGTCGAAGGACACTGTTTCAAAGGGAAACAAAAACTAATTGAAGCTTGTATGAAGATAATTTCCTTCTGAATCGAAGGAAGCTTTCAGAAGATTATTGACTTTTTGAATTGAAGAAAACCAAAAGGAGACCTTTACTTCCTGAGTCGAAGGATACTGTTTCAAAGGGAAACAAAAACTCAATTGAAGCTTGTATGAAGATCATTTCCTTCTGAGTCGAAGGAAGTTTTCAGAAGATTATTAACTTTTTGAATTGAAGAAAACCAAAAGGAGACATTTACTTCCTGAGTCGAAGGACATTCCTGAGTCGAAGGACACTGTTTCAAAGGGAAACAAAAACTCAATTGAAGCTTGTATGAAGATCATTTCCTTCTGAGTCGAAGGAAGCTTCAATACCCAAATGAAAGATGTAACCCAAGTGGCATGAAGCCTTTGCTCAACTGAAGCTTGCATGCAGGCATGGCCAGAGATGAATGCCTAAACGAAGGCTTACACGCAGATATGCAGGAGGTGAATGCCCAAATGAAGACTTGTATGCAGGAGGCACATTTGACCACCAGATCATGACCTTCGATTGCAAGCATGCATGCAACAAACTTGTCTAATCGAAAGACTTACCTTCTAGGGGACACTTGTGGCAGAAAATTTGGTACTCAAAGCAAACACGCAGGCAGTGGAAGACACAAACGAAGCCTACAACAAGAAGTCACATGCCCAGACGAAAGAGGCACGCTAGTAGCAACTTTTGAGCAATCGAAGGAGGTGCAAAGTCCAATCGAAGGGGCTGAATCGAAGGAGACCTATTTTCCTCCAAATTTGTCAAAATGTTATTTTTATCTTTTTTCTCCCTTTTTGACAGTTTCCTTTTAATTCTGGTGCTAGAAAATCCCAATGTACTTGTGCAAACTTGAATTTTGAGAATCATTGTGAGAGATGCCTTGAGAATTGAGAGGACAAATTTTGGAGTACAACAATAGCCAATGTATCAGTTTTATCCGAAAAAATCACAGTGGTACATCCCAAAGTTTCAACACTTGGGAGCTGTCAAACAATTGCATTCTTTTGTGTCATTTTCCTTGTACTGAGCGCTAAACATGTTGTGATAACAGATGGAAGACCTTCTGTAGAAACACTGCGATCACGTAGTTTTGGCAGTGGTCCGATGACGGATTGAGAGCATGTTTTCTACATTTCTTGTCTTCTTTCGTAATGATGAAGCTCCCTTGTTGTATGTGACAAATGGAGAGGGCAATACCAAGTTGTAAAAGCTTCATTTCTAGCTTTGGTGATGAAGGGGGAAGGAACCCATCTACTTTTGCAAACATTGTATGCGTGTGGGAGAATCTTGGTCTTGGTGACAATTTGTCAAACAGTTTATGTGCAGGTTGTTGGAGCAAGGAAACTTGTTGTGAACATAAAGATGGTTTTGGAGGAATCGCAAAAGCGACATCATCGTGAAACCCTCCATCGTTGAACTGAGGCTCGACTATGAGAGTGATTGAAGATTCAAGATCTAAGATTTCAGAATATTGTGAAAATGACGCACGAGAAAGAGAAGGCGTAAGAGGATACGTGACATCGGAAATTCCGTCAGGCGGTTTTGGTGGAGGTATCTCTTCACAACTTAGAATAATAGGGTTGTTGACATCTTGGTGTTTTGCTTCAAAATAAATGGGTTGTTGTGGTGTTTCATTTTTAACGGTGTCGCCAAGATTTTCACAGTTGTGAGAAGCAATGTTAGAGGAATTTGAGATTAGAGGTGACCCATCTCCCAATAATCAGCATCATGCTGCTCTTCCTCATTTTCCAGCGGCAATATGGGTTACTTTAGTGGTGGCTCTGGTTCTTCTATATCTGATACATCTTTTTCATCTCTTTCCTCTTCAACAACAACTTGTTCAAGAAAAAGTATTTCTACTGCATCTAATGTTTTTTTTCTTACAAACAAGTTGTAACACTTTGAGAGAGTAACCAAAATTTTGAATCAGCTCCTTCAACACTTTTCTATATTCATTTTCTATTTTACGAGTTTCAATCAAATATTGTTTTAGATTTTCTAGTTGTGAATAAAAATCTTGAGATTGAGGTTGGTAGCTATGGTAACTTGAATGTTCATCGGAGGTAGAAAATGATTATTCAGGTGAAGTAGAAATTATGTGTTGTTGTTGATGTTTATATGGAATGTATGGAGTGTATGAGGTGTGGGAATGATTGAGGTTCAAGATGAAAACACCAATTGTTAGAAAGCTAAATAAGAACCCTAACAAACTTAAGAAAAAGCGATAAATTCTAAGCTATGAAGATGATAAACTAATAAAAATAAAGGTTTTCATTGATTTCTTTGATATACTCTAATGTGTCATAGACACTACATATATAGTACTCATAATGAATAATAATCCTAAAAGTTCAAATACTACTTAAGAGTCCAGTAACAACACTAGTAACTAATAATATAAATGACTTACTAAATTAATATTCTAACTTAATTTAACTCATAATTCACTCTCTATCAATATTTATCTATACCCGACATAAATCTGTTGGTAGAGAAAGCATATGATGCAGTGAGTTGACCGGTCGCCTTCATTATGCAGTTACTTGATCAAATCCAAAAGTGCACCATTGCCTGTTCATATAATTGGTTAATCATTAGTTCTTTGTATTTCAAAGGGTAAAAAGAACATCAATAATTCAAGATTTATTCAAATAAATGCAATGCATTTGACTAGAGTGTTTGCGATTGTGAGTCAAATTTTAAAATGGATCAATCATTTTGGGACGGAGGGAATATATACTTTACCTCTTTGAGAAGACTGAGAGAGACAGCATGATCCACAGGGGTGACATTTTTGGCTTTCAAGCTTCTCATCTCTGACTGTATTAATTTTAGTTCACTTTTAATTTCTCTCAGAAGCCGCAACTGCTCTTCATTATCCCCTAATTCAAATTCAGAGGTAACCTCCTGATACCTTCTACTGGTTTTCTGCCTCTGAAGCCTTGCAATTATTTGACGAACTTCAGCTTGAGAATTACAATCCACGCCCATCCTCTCTTTCTTCTGGCCAACACTTGTCACTGTGCCCTTTTGCTTGTCTGCATCATGTTTAAGAGGCGATTCAATCATTCCCTCAAACACAGATTCTGGTTTTGTTAATATAGTGTCTGCCAAAGAATTCCGTTTCTCATGTCTTCTTCTGACCTCATGTTTTACTGTGGCTTCTGGGACTTCAAATACATCGTAGGCTTTTGAAAATATTGAACATGACCTCCCTCCTCTACTTTTCAAGTTTTCTCCAATGTTATTACGATCTGAAATCAGTCTCGCTTGTGCATGCAACATTTTTATCTTGTTCCAGTATGAATTAATAGTTCCACTTCCACAATCCAAGCTAGGTTCCTGGTCACTTGAAACAGGCGCTGGACTAGGTGATCTTTCAGTTTTGTGAGCATTACTCTCACTGAGGGTCATGATCTTTTCAATTGGAGTTGAGGGAAATGACTTTAGCCTTCTCATAGCCTTAATGCTAGTTTGATCAGTTGTATTTGAGTGCACGTACTGAAACTCAGTTGCATTGAGATCACGTCCTAAGCTGACAAGTTTGTTTTTGTAAGCCTGCAATTGAAACTTGAGAGATGCAGTTTCCATCTCCTTGTCATACATAAGTTGTTCATAAGCTTCAAAGGTTGCTTCCGCGTGGTCTATCATCTCTTCTGTCATTCTCTTGAACTGACTCGCCTCCATCTCCACCCTAGCCTTCTCTCCCTGTAGACGTAGTATCATATCCATTGCTTCTATGGCTGCTGTGGCTGATGCTTCCCTTTCTTCATCCAACTCAGCGTACAACTTCTGCAGAAGTTGCCCTTGAAAACCAAGTGTCTCTGTCCCGCCCAACACTGTCACTTCACTTCTAGTTCGACCAATCAAACTTGTTTGTGCCATGCTACTTTGCCTTGTTGTTGAACTAAAATAATCACCAAGAATCAATCTCAATATATGAAGTTAATATAGCAAATGAAACCAACAAATTAACAACTAATGAAAGTGTCCTGGATCGAGTTGAGGCCCAATCCAGGCGCTAATATATGATGATTGAGAAACAAGCTATGGGACTGCCTTAATGGCACACTATAGCAAGGCAGTTGAGTGCATCATCACCACATGAGATCAAGATCAAACGATCTGCACTTCATCAACTCCGGCCATCGATCTAGATCCACCGCGGATCCGGATACAATCATATCAAAATGAATAGAACTAAAATAAATGTTTGGAGGAAAAAAAACTCTAAATCTCACGTTGAAATTATAATTTATCATAAAAATTACATATGATTCTACTCAGAAGACTCAGATATCCAAATCAGTTTAATGAAATCAAAACATGCATTAGATATGAAAATAATATATGAAAATAAAGTGAAATCCAGTATCTTACGTACCTTGCGAAACGAGTGCGAAATTGTGAATAAGAAGAATAAGACGAGCATGAAAATATAGCTGTTTCTCTGTCAACGAGTGAGCGAACCCTTCTGCGTCAAAATGAAACGGGGAATCCGCACACGGTTTGCGCTCCAAAACATTTAATTACGACTAAGATATTACTAAGAATCTTCTTTTCTTTTTCTTTCTTCCTATATACTCCTTCCGCCTTAATTATTAAAACTTATTTATAATAAGGAAAGAAAAAAAAGACAACTTTTTTACTTTTATGAAAAATGATATTTAAATGTGTAAAAAAAAGAAAGAATAATATTTAAATATATTTAATTTTTTTGATTCGGTGTAAACGTGTAAATGTGATAACACAATAACTAATATTTTTTAATTAAATTGTCATCTATTAACAATATTAAATAATTAACTGAGAGATAATTTTGGAATAAAAGTATTTATGTGTTTAGATTTGTTGAAATTTAGTTATATTATAAATCAAATAGTTAATAAGACTTTTGTTTATAAATAAGATCAGATAAATTATTAAATAAAAATTAAAAAAAAAAAACAACTTTCACATTAATTTATGAGAAAATATAAGATGTACTATTCACCGTGTAAAATAATTTTATACTGTCAATCAATTAAAATTATTTTATCAAATCACCTTTATATTTTAATATTTAGATGATATGATAAATTATTGGTTTATTATTGGACGATGATGTAAATTTATTTTACATTATCTGTGCATGTCTATTAAACTATTAATTTATCAAGAATAAAATATTAAGTTTTGTTTATTTTGATGTAGAGATAAAAAAAAATTTTGACTCCTTTATATTTAATGGCAAAAAAAAAATTGTGAACTTTTTTTTTAATAAAGTATTGTTTTATAAATATCAATAATTTATTACATTAATATAAAAATATAAATAAATGATGCACCACAGATTGAATCTTAGATTAATTGGTTACACTCATTTTGTTAGACGACGACGTCTTATCTATAGGGGGTGAATAGATCATCAAAGCAAAAAAATTCAGATAAAAATTCTAATTTTAAAAGTAGTTAAAAGAGTGCACACACAAGATTTTAATATAGATCGAAAACGTCGTCTATACGAACCTAACTATTCGAAGTCGAATATTCAAATATAAAGAGATTTATGGAACGAACAATACAAAATATAATTTATAAACTTTAAGTAACAAAGTATTAATTATTTATGGCAAGTTACTAGCAACACTATTTATTTCTAATGGTAACTAGCAAAAGAACAAACAAAACAATTTGTCGAACATTTGGTGTGCGACCGAATTTTCAGAATATTCTTTTGAGTTGTGTTGATATAAAAAAACACTTATAATCAAAAGTGATTATAAGCAAATCAACACCCAATTCAAAATAAAAACAATCACGGAAAAATTCTTACGAGTCGATCGATTACTTAATGCTATTTGACAAATTGATTAATGAAAATTAAAGCAAATAAAGCGATAAGAAAAAGAGACACGAGGATTTGTTTATGAAGTTCATCAATCGTCCTTGCTATGAATACGTCTCCCACAAGGAATTAAGATAATTTCTTACTATACAAAAAGTCGTTACAAGAGAAGTGTTCCAAGAATAATCCTACAAACCCTAACCGTTTGTTGTTGATTCAACTCCTTCTCTTCTTTTGATCTTGAGAAACACCAAGACACAATAGCTATTAATTTATTTATTGAATCTTGCTACTCTTTTGCGTTCTTTATCTCCAAAGCTTTCGTGCACGATCAATTATACCAATTACACACAAGACACTTCAATTCGATTTATCGTCCTCGCGCTACTTCCTTTGTGTTCTTTATCTCCAAAGGCTTTTACTAGCCTACAATCCTCTCTTGAATGTCTTGTACGGAAACCCCCAAATCTATCAACGATCTTGGAGGATAAACCCGCTGTTTTTCCGGATAAAATCCTATGCAAATCTCAACCCAATATTCTTAGCTACACAAAAGATGATTTTTAATTAAATTGTCATCAATTAACAATATTAAATAATTAACTGAGAGATGATTTTGGAATAAAAGCATCTATGTGTTTAGATTTGTTGAAACTTAGTTATGTTATCAATCAAATAGTTTATAAGACTTTTGTTTATAAATAAGATTAGAGGAAGTATTAAATAAAAAAATAAAAAAAAACAACTTTCACATTAATTTATGAGAAAACATGAGATGTACTGACCGTGTAAAACAATTTTATACTGTCAATCAATTAAAATTATTCTATTAAAACACTTTTATATTTTAATATTTAGATGATATGATAAATTGTTGATTTATTATTGGACGATGATGTAAAGTTATTTTACATTGTCGTACATGTCTATTAAACTCTTAATTTATCAAGAATCAAATATTAAGTTTTGTTTATTTTGATGTAGAGATAATTTTTTTTATTGACTCCTTTATATTTAATGTCAAAAAAAAATTGTGAACTTTTTTTAATAAAGTATTGTTTTATAAATATCAATAATTTATTACATTAATGTAAAAATATAAATAAATGATGCACTAGAGATTGAATCTTAGACTAATTGGTTACACTTATTTTGTTAGACGGTGACGCCTTATCTAGAGAGGGATGAACAGATTATCAAGGCAAAAAATTTAGATAAAAATTCTAATTTTAAAAGTAGTTAAAAGAGTGCACACAGAAGGTTTTAATATAGATCGAAAACATCGTCTATACGAACCTAGCTATTAGAAATCGGATATGCAAATATAAAGAGATTTATGGAATGAACAATACAATACATAATTTATAAACTTCAATCAAGTAACGGAGTATTAATTGTTTATGGCAAGTTACTAGCAACACTATTTCCAATGGTAACTAGCAAAAGAATAAACAAAATAATTTGTCGAACACTTGGTGTGCGATCGAATTTTCATAATTTTTTTTTATTTATGTTGATATAAAAACCACTTATGATCAAAAGTGATTATAAGCAAATCAACACCCAATTCAAAATAAAAACAGTCACAGAAAAATTATTACGAGTCGATTGATTACTTAATGCTATTTGACAAATTGATTAATGAAAACTGAAGCAAGTAAAGCGATAAGAAAAAGAGACACGAGGATTTATTTAGGAAGTTCGTCAATCGTTCTTGCTATGACTACGTCTCCCACAATTCCAATTTTAGAATTAGGATAATTTCTTACTATGCAAAAAGTCGTTACAAGAGAAGTGTCCCAAGAGAAATCCTAGAAATCCTAACCATTTGTTGTTGATTCAACTCATTCTCTTATTTTGATCTTGAGAGAGACCAAGACACAATAGCTATCAATTTATTTATAGAATCTTGCTACTCTTTTGCATTATTTATCTCCAAAGCTTTCGCGCACGATCAATTATACTTGTTGCACACAAGACACTTCAATTCGATTTATCATTCTCGCGCTACTTCCTTTGTGTTCTTTATCTCCAAAGGCTTTCACTATCCTACAATACTCTCTTGAATGTCTTACATGAAAACCCCAAACTCTATCAATGATCTTGGAGGATAAATCCGCGTTTTTTTGGATGAAACCCTCTGTAAATCTCAACCCAATATTCTCGGCTACACAAGAACCTAATTGAACGTTAGATGGAACCCCAATAAAAGATGATTATGTGTGATTTATATGTGTGTATATATAGGTTGGAGGTTGAAGATGAAGAGAAAATGCAATATGTGTTTTTAGTTTCATCAAGTTGGAATGATGCATGAATGATGTATTCATAGTTGTGAAAGTTTAGATGCAAAGAGGTGTTTTTCAGAATTAAAAAGAATTAAAAAATTAACCAAATCGAACCGTATGAGCCGACCTGAAAATCATATGTGCTGACAAATAAGTCAAAATTTAACTGTATGTGCCGGCCTGGAAAATGGATGTGTCGGCCTAAGCATGGCATAAGCATTTTGTTTTAAAAATTGTAGAACATGTGGCGGCCTGAAAATCGTATGTGCCAGAACATAAAATAAGAAAAACTGCAAATTTTTAAAGTTTCAGTATGTGCTGGCCTGTAATGCTGCATGTGTCGGCCTAAGACCTCCAGAGACTACATGCTTCAAAACAAAGTTACATGTGCCGGCTTGAAACATATATGTGTCGGCACATGCAAGAAAAATTAATGCTAAAACTTGCTTTTCAAGACTTTGGTCAATTTCAAAATGGTTTTTAATAATTCCTAAGACCTCTAATGTAAGAGAGTGCCATAAGACATTGAGATACCGCCCAATATACAAAAATGCTAAGTTTTCCTAGTTTTGACATCATCTAAAATCTCTAATGGTGAAGTTGTACTCACATGCTCCCCATTTTTTATGATGGAAAAACTTGCGACGATGCATTTCATGTAGTTATAGAAGGCCCCCCCTGTCTTTGTGCTTCCCAACTTCATCTCGTGTATGCTTCTCCCCCTTTGACAACATCAAAAAGAAATATAGAAAATCTTGAGAAGTATCATG